CCAGACCTTCACGCTTCCGGACTCTCCAGAGCAAAATGGGATTGCTGAGCGCCGCATTGGCATGGTCATCGACGTCGCCCGTACGTCCATGATGCATGCGGCTGCCCCCCATTTTCTGTGGCCGTTTGCGGTTCGGTACGCGGCGCATCAGATCAACCTTCACCCCGGGGTCTCCATGCCGGAGACCTCCCCAGCTTTGCTGTGGACGGGGAAGGTTGGCAATGCGTCTGCGTTCCGTGTCTGGGGATCTCGGGCGTTTGTCCGCGACTTGTCTGCAGACAAGTTGTCCCCTCGTGCTGCTCCTTGCGTCTTCCTTGGCTTCCCCCCTTACGCGCCAGGGTGGCAGTTCTACCACCCCACCTCTCGCCGTGTTCTGTCCTCCCAGGACGTCACGTTTGACGAGTCGGTCCCCTACTACCGCCTCTTCCCCTACCGCACTCCGCCCCTCCCCCCGCCACCGCTCTTCCTTGTGCTAGGTCCCCCCCCCGGTAGACCCCCTCCCCCCTCAGGGTCCTGCCCCTTCAGGTTTGTCCCAGGTAGACGCAGTCGAGCCTGTCGAGGTTACTGGAGACTCTGGTGCTGCTGAGGGTGCTGAGCGAGGGGGTGCTGACTCTGGGGGTGCTGAGCGTGTGGGTGCTACGCCTGGGGGTGCTGAGCCTGAGGGTGCTACTACTGGGGGTGGTGAGCTTGGGGGTGCTAAGCCTGGGGGTGCTACCACTGGGGGTGCTGAGCCTCAAGATGCTGAGCTTAGGGTTGCTACGCCTGGGGGTGCTGAGTCTGGGGGTGCTACGCCTCGAGGTGCTGAGCCTGGGGGTGCGGAGCCTGAGGGAGCTGGGCCTGCTCGTGTGGCGTCTGGCGGTGCTGTGCCTGGCGGTTCTCCGGGTGCTTCGTCTCGCCGGGAGCCACTCTCTCCACAGGAGCTGCGTGAGTGGTTTGCCCGGCGCTGGAGGCGTGCTGCTGGAGCTGGAGGTGCTGCGGGTACTGGAGATTCTGATGCTGCTGAGGGTGCTGGTGCCGCGGGTCCCGGAGGTGCTCATACTAGGAGTACTGGAGCTGCTGGGCCTGCGGGTACTTCTGGAGCTGGAGCTGCTGCGGGTGTTGGCGCGGAGGCTGCTGCTGTCGGTCCTGGCGGCGGTCCTGCTGGGGGTGCTACTGGTGCTGCTGGAGGTACTAGAGCTGGAGGTGCTACTGGTGCTGGTGCTGCCGCTGGGGGTACTGGTGCTGTCCCTGCTGTGTTTGGAGTCGCCGCGCGGCCTCGGCCATACTTCGTTCCGCTCCTTCAGTAGGTTCTTGGTCTCCCGCCTTCTACTGGTCCTCCTCCTCCCTTAGAGTGTCCACTGCCTGTCCCGTCACAGTTACAATTACAGCCGACCTCCCCACTGCCTGCTCCTTCTCCCTACACTGGTCCTACTGGAGGTCTTGCTGAGCGTCGTGAGCCTGCGTCTCGCCCTGCGTCGCCTGTCCGTGCTGCTCGCACTAGTGGTCGCGGTTCACGTCAGCGTCCTCCTCCTGTCCCTGGCACGCACCGGATGTCTATGCGTCCGTCCACTGCTCCTCTGCGTGCCCCTTTACCTTCTCCTCTTGAGTCTTCTCTTCCTGCTCTTACCGACCCGGAGTCAGACTCTCTTCGTGCTGCCAGTCCTACTGTCACGCGTCTCCTTGCTGCTGTTGTCACTAACCCTTCCTTTGAGTCCACTGCTGCGTGTGCCCTAGTTGCTGAGCTCGTCGACCCTGCTGCTCGCTGTTGTCTAGACTACGCCGCCAGTCTTGTTGCTGAGTCTGAGTCTGTCTGTCCTCCGTCCGTCAGGGGTGAGTGTGCCCTTGGCACGGACGTCCTTGAGGACAGGCAGGAGGAGTTCCAGTGCTTGGCTGCTGCTTCACCTCATCTCGTGTCCGTACTGCTTACCCTTGAGGGAGACCCGGATGCACTTGACATCCCGACTCCGCGCTCTTACGCGGAGGCGATAGAGGGTCCCTACTCCTCTCAGTGGCAGGCAGCTATGGACGTAGAGATGGCTTCCTGGAAGTCCAAAGGCACCTACGTTGACGAGTTTCCCCCGCCTGGGGCGAACATCGTCAGTGGCATGTGGATTTTCAGGGTGAAGCGGCCGCCGGGTTCTCCGCCTGTCTTCAAGGTGCGTTACGTGGCTCGTGGCTTCAGTCCGCGGCAGGGAGTTGACTACTTTCAGACCTTCTCTCCCACCCCGAAGATGACCACTCTTCGGGTACTACTGCACGTAGTTGCTCACCGTGACTACGAGCTACACTCTCTTGACTTTAGCACTGCTTTCCTGCAGGGCAGCTTGCACGAGGAGATCTGGCTGCGCCGCCCACCTGGCTTCACTGGGACTTTTCCTCGTGGCACCTAGTGGAGCCTCCGGCGGCCAGTCTACGGTCTTCGCCAGGCACCGCGTGAGTGGCACGACACACTGACGACTACACTTGCGGCTCTTGGGTTTGCTCCCTCTACTGCCGACCACGAATACACATTATCATAAAAATTTAGTAACCTGTCCTCAACTATATGTCAAAACATATGTATTTCATGATCATTTTAAAACATGGAAATCGCTTTACTATAATCCAACAACGACAAAGAAATCAAAGTTGTTCAAAATTCTTACGCATGTTACGAGTGTTGCTTCGCAACCCTAAGACGTTCAACGTGAAAAGCCACGCCTGAACGGTAGGACCACCCCATTGACTTGGGTCAAAGCATGGCGGACGCTGCGGCTTTAGCGGCATCGGCGACGGAAGAGTTGATTCGCCAGCCGGCACTGAAATCGTGACTTGAGGTTGAGTCCTGGCCGCAGTAGTCGTGTCGGGGTGTGTCGTGCCGTCGTCGTTGTCTCCGTCATGGCGGACGACGCCATCACTTGCGGCGCTCGCGGGTTGCCCCACACTTCCAAGCTGTGATGTCTGTGGTGCGGGCTGAATCGGAGTGCCAGGTGCTTGGGATTGTGCTCGTGTGAGGTTGTTTTGCAGGGCCGAGCGTTCTGCCGTTAGCGTCGCAATTTCCTCGGCGCTCTCGCGGATTTGTCGCAGCAGATCGTTCAAATGCTCTTGCGTGAGAGTCGTGACGTCGATATGTTCAGCCATTTCGAAGGGCGTCGGCTCGTCTTAGTCTAGGCGTAGTCGTGGCTGCACGCGTTTACGAGAGAACGCGAGGACAGCGGCTCCTATGTGCTAAGGTGCGTGAGTCCCTTCGAGTGAGAAATCAAAATTTGATTTTCTGAGGTGCGGAGATGCGCGGTCAGAATGAAAGGGGCTCTGAATACCAAGTGTTACGGGTGCAATGAATCGAAGTAGCGAGAATTGCACTAAGGTGTCAAAACGAGTACAAAATGTGAGGGAAGGCATGAGCGAACATTTATACGCGAAACATGCAAACGGTAACGCGGTGCGTGCGAGCTAGCTAGTGCTACGCTGGAGCGAGGCTCGGGCTAGTCCCGAAGCATAGGCCGACACGGCCATGCCAGCAGTGCGAGGTTTGGTGAAAACATTGTGCGCGAAGTCGGCGAAGCCCCGTTAGCAGTAACGGGCGAACAACGGCTGCTGCTGTACGCGATGTAGTCGGGCTCCGTAAGGAATGTCGAGAAAAATCCTTTCAGTACCCTCATTGGAAATTCCGATTAGTTCTAATACAATAAGAAGTCAGTGTTCTGGTGTACCCGTAAATTTGAGCCTTCAGCATATGCATTGAATATAGAACTGCCTCGTTTAGTGTGAGTATATATGTAGCTAGTTCCCCCCAAATTATTAGTGAACCTGCGCTTATAATAACAAAGAGAGTATTTGTGAGCGCATGTACTGTGACGAATTACGAAAAACGAAGCTTTGACAATATGGACAGAATAAACAATCAATGATAAGAGATACCGTAATAGAGCGGACGACACTGCCATTTGATCTGGTTTGGAGAGCTTGTGACGGTGTCCATTTTTGTCTCTTGCCACGATGACCTACTGAGTCAAGCACTCAGTTTCCCAAGTATCCTTTGTGAACAGTCGGAATCTTTGTGCACCATACGTCGGAAATCAGTCGGAACTTGCATATGCACACCACCAAAGCACAACCAAGCCAACGTATCTGACCGAGCCTGCCACCCAGACGCAATGCCATGATGGCATATACGGTATGCAGGTTTGGATGGCATCCAGCCCAGAGTTAGTCGGGAATGCAGCTCAGCTTGGGAATGCAGCTCAGCTTGGGAATGCGTCTCAGCTTGGGAATGCAGGCCAGCGTTGCAGCGTTGAAAGCGATATTTTTGTTTTTTTTACTACTCTCGATTTCATTGCTGGAATCCAGCTTGCAAGCTTTCGTGCGCAGGACACCACTAACTGGTGTTTATCTGTTCATATAAACACACACCTCAATCCCACCAATTCCCGCTCGTTTTCTCTGCAATGCTGGAGCTGAGTCAGATTCGTAGAGTAATTTACGTCAGGTCTGGGATGGTCACTAGCGAGTTGTCGTTTTTTCGAGTTCTAGTCCAAGGCAGCATAGGCGCGCCACGATGTGATGACAGAAAGTCAAATATAGGCACCCGGCGGATGGCGGGCGGAAGGGCGGAGTTTTCAATCGGCAGGAGGCGGGACTGGGCAGGAAGTATTTTAGCGATGTACTGTTCATATAACACCCACCACGCCCCAATTCCAACTCGTCTGCTTAGCAATGCTGGATCTGAGTCAGATAGTGGATTAATCCACGTCAGATCTGCCACGTCACAAGCGAGTTGTCGTTTTTGCGTTTTTCTAGTCCAAGGCGGCAAAGGCGCAAGTCAACTGTTTGGCACCCGCTGATGGCGGGCGACGGAAGAGGGCGAGTTTCAACCGCATCATCTGGGCAGGAAGTATTTCAGCAGGTGGGCCATCCAGTTAGCACTCATTCCATCATTCCTGCTTTACCAGACACTTCTCTTGGCTGCGTTCGCGAGATTGCTCACCTTGAAGCTCAGCATCGTCATTGTCATCGTTACTACTTTCACTTCGGGATCGGCTATGGCTGCAAACGAACTGCGACTCTCTGGCCTTGTACTTGCTGCCGCACTGGCTGCTCTTATGCTCTCAGGTACTCATCATTCTCTCACCTTTGGGAACACTTATTCGTCTGTGCAATTTTTTACGTTTTAGGGTTTGTGCTCATGATGTTGTTTGCAGATTTATTGCTCATTAGGAACGAGTCCTGACCACCTCCTTCATCCCCCGCACTGTTTTTCCCAGCCTGTGCGCCCAGGGTTGCTGTTGCCATTCGCCTGCCATCTGCTACCAGCAGCCAGTGCCCAGTGGGTTATGTGAAGGACGCAGAAGGCAACTGCATTGGTGAGTGCTGTGAATGCATCGATATTGGTTCATTCGGCCTCATTTGGTGTGCAACTTCACAGCTTCAACATGTAATCCGGCATTCACAGCCTCAGTTTGTGCTCCAGAAGACATTAACCATGCCACGTGACATTCTGCACGGACTTTTCAGCTCACCATGTGCTTACCATCCCACGTGTCTTTGTGTCCCCCACGTGCCTGCGTGCAGACTCGTGCACAGTACGCAACTGCGGCACCAACGCGAGGTGCCTCAAGAGCCAGGCGGGCTGGGCGGACTGCGTGTGCGACAGGGGCTTCAAGCTGCTGCCCGATGCGTCCTGCGCCCGTGAGTTGACTCCACCCAACCTTTTTGCTTCCCATATCCGCTGCTGCTTCACATGACATGGTATCATCGCTGCTGCTTCACATGACATGGTATCATCGCTGCTGCTTCACATGACATGGTATCATCGCTGCTGCTTCACATGACATGGTATCATCGCTGCTGCTTCACATGACATGATATCATCGCTGCTGCTTCACATGACATGGTATCATCGCTGCTGCTTCACATGACATGGTATCATCGCTGCTGCTTCACATGACATGGTATCATCGCTGCTGCTTCTGCCTCTCATTCAAGCTGTCTCGGTCGCATCCAGGCCTGTCAGCATCGTGGGCATTCCACTGGAATAAAGTTGGCAGCTTTCACCTCTTTTCACTATCCCTCTGCGTACTCTACTGTACACCCTCTCATGCTGTGAACCTGGTAGAGCTGTGTACGGCCGAGGACTGTGGGGAGAACGGGTACTGTGAGGAGGACCAAGGAATCTCCTCCTGTCATTGCAACCCTGGCTTTGAAAAGACTGCGGACGGCTGTGTTGGCTCGATAATGGACTGCGGGGAGAACGCCTACTGTGAGAAGGAGGAGTCTCTCGCCGTCTGTCACTGCAACTGGGGCTACGCCATGACCGAGGACGGCTGTGTTGGTCAGTGCTGTGCTGTGTTGGTCAGTGCTGTGCTGTGTTGGTCAGTGCTGTGCTGTGTTGGTCAATGCTCTGTTGCAATGCGTGGAGAATCAGTCTGTGGTTTTCTGTGGATGATTCAATGCTATACAAGCTGAGAGGATGCGTTGTGCTGCAGAAGGATGGCATGACGTGGGCAGAAGGTTACCATGACTGCGCTTCCAATCGCTGTTCCATTTGCTTCTCCGTTCTTCTTTTTATTGTCTTAACACTTTGGGTTTATTTTTCCCGTTGCGTCTTCCCCCAATGGCAGACACATGTATACTGAAAGCGTGTAGCGCGCACGGTCACTGTGTCAAGGACGCGTTGGGGTGGGCCTCTTGTGTTTGTGACGTTGGCTTCACGCTGCAGAAAGATGGCGAGACATGCAAAGGTGTGTGTTGCTGTGTGTCGTGTTTATGTGTGCTTTCATGTCCTTGTATATTTTGCTGCTCTACGTTTCCTTCTGAGTGCCCCTCCCTCTCCTCCCTCTCCCTCTCCCTCCTCCTCTCCCTCTCCCTCCTCCTCTTCCTCTCCCTCTCCCTCTCCCTCTCTCTCTACCACACAAGCTCTCTCTCCCTCCACCTATACCTTTCCTTCTCCCTCTAATTGTCCCCTACCTCTCCCTTTATCTCCCCCTCTTGTTTACGCTCTCTCTTTCTCCTTCTGCCATATCCACCTATGGCAAGCGTGCATTGCATCTGTACGTTCTCTCCTCTTTCCCCTCTGTTCTCGTTCTCTTACTCCACAATGACCCACACTCATTGGCACCCCCTCTTCCCCCCCTCCCCTTCCCTCCAGATAACTGCATTATTAAGAACTCTGACATACTCACGTCGTATTATTGTATGAAATATCCAAACGGTAATGCGGTCTTTACCTCCCCACGTAACACGACTTGAAGACAGGCGGAGAACCCGGCGGCCGCTTCACCCTGAAAATCCACATGCCACTGACGATGTTCGCCCCAGGCGGGGGAACCTCGTCAACGTAGGTGCCTGTGGACTTCCAAGAAGCCATCTCTGCGTCCATAGCTGCCTGCCACTGAGATGAGTAGGGACCCTCTATCGCCTCCACGTAAGAGCGCGGAGTCGGGATGTCAATAACATCCGGGTCTCCCTCAGGGGTAAGCAGTACGGACACGAGATGAGGTGAAGCAGCAGCCAGACACTGGAACTCCTCCTGCCTGTCCTCAAGGACGTCCGTGCCAAGGGCACACTCACCCCCGATGGACGGAGGACAGACAGACTCAGACTCAGCAACAAGACTGGCGGCGTAGTCTAGGCGACAGCGAGCAGCAAAGTCGACGAGCTCAGCAACTAGGGCAGACGCAGCAGTGGAGTCAAAGAAAGGGTCAGTGACAACAGTAGCAAGGAGACGCTTGACAGTAGGACTGGCAGCACGAAGAGAGTCCGACTCCAGGTCGGCAAGAGCAGGAAGAGAAGACTCATGAGGAGAAGGTAAAGGGGCACGCAGAGGAGCAGTGGACAGACGCAGAGACATCCGGTGCATGCCAGGGACAGGAGGAGGACGCTGACGCGAACCGCGACCACTAGTGCGAGCAGCACGGACAGGCGACGCAGGGCGAGACACAGGCTCTCGACGCTCAACAAGACCTCCAGTAGGACCAGTGTAGGGAGACGGAGCAGGCAGTGGGGAGGCCGCTGTAACTGTAACTGTGACGGGACAGGCTGTGGACACTCGAAGGGAGGAGGAGGACCACTAGAAGGCGGGAGACCAAGAACCTGCTGAAGGAGCAGAACGAAGTACGGCCGAGGCCGCGCGGCGACTCCAGACACAGCACGGACAGAACCAGTACCCCCACTGGCAGCACCAGCACCAGCAACACCTCCAGCTCCAGTACCTCCAGCAGCACCAGTAGCACCCCCAGCAGGACCGCCTCCAGGACCGACAGCAGTAGCCACCGCGTCAACACCCACAGCAGCTCCAACTCCAGAAGTACCCGCAGGCCCAGCAGCTCGCCTCCAGCACCGGGCAAACCACCCACGCAGCTCTTGTGGAGAGAGTGGCTCCTGGCGAGACGAAGCACCCGGAGAACCGCCAGGCACAGCACCGCCAGACGCCACACGAGCAGGCCCAGCTCCCTCAGGCTCAGCACCTCCAGGCGTAGCACCCCCAGGCGTAGCACCCCCAGGCGTAGCACCCCCAGGCTCAGCACCCCCAACCTCAGCACCCCCAGGCTCAGCACCCCCAGGTGTAGCACCCACACGCTCAGCACCCGCAGATTCAGCACCCCCAGGCTCAGCACCCTCAGTAGCACCAGAGTCACCAGCGACCTCGACAGGCTCAACAGCGTCTACCTGGGACACACCTGAAGGGGCAGGACCCTGAGGGGGGAGGGGGTCTACCGAGGGGGGACCTGGCACAAGGAAGAGCGGTGGCGGGGGGAGGGACGGAGTGCGGTAGGGGAAACGGTGGTAGTAGGGGACCGACTCGTCGAACGTGACGTCCTGGGAGGACAGAACACGGCGAGAGGTGGGGTGGTAGAACTGCCACCCTGGCGCGTCAGGGGGGAAACCCAGGAAGATGCAGGGAGCAGCACGAGGGGACAGCTTGTCCGCAGACAAGTCGCGGACAAACGCCCGAGATCCCCAGACACGGAACGCAGACGCATCGCCAACCTTCCCCGTCCACAGCAAAGCTGGGGAGGTCTCCGGCATGGAGGTTGATCTGATGCGCCGCGTACCGGATCGCAAACGGCCACAGAAAATGGGGGGCAGCCGCATGCATCATGGACGTATGGGCGACGTCCATGACCATGCCAATGCGGCGCTCAGCAATCCCATTTTGCTGTGGAGAGTCCGGAAGCGTGAAGGTCTGGTGGATGCCTCGTGCACGACAGTAGGCTCGCAGAAGGCCAGAGGAGAACTCTCCGCCTCGGTCAGAGTGCAGACGCAGAACAGGAAAGTCCGAGCCGAAGCTCCGCCTGAGTTGGAGACTTGCTACACGGATCCAGTCGATCAACACCTCAGTGACATCACCCTTGCTGCGCAAGGGGAAGACTGTGGTGTAACGCGAGTAGTCGTTAACCACCAGCCGGAAGTAGCGCTCGTGACCCTGTCCACGGACGCGGGCCGGGCCCCACACGTCCATGTGAAGCGTCTGCAGCGGGGCCTCTGTCGGAGGAAACTGAGAGGAGTGAGGGGCAGCCCGCTGCCGCCCCTCGACACAGGGGACTCAGGTAGGGCCAGGCCCCGGAGGAAGGGGAGGGAGGGACCGGGGAAGACCAGAGACAAGGACACGGGAGGCCATGCTTCGGAGACAAAGCAGGGAGGGGTGACCAAGGCGGTGGTGCCAGAGGAGAGTCTCGTGAGAGAGGAGACGACACGAGCAGGGGGCAGACTTAGGACCAGACCTGGACGCTGCAGCAAACACCTGACCTGACGCAGCTACCTGCCCAGACGCAGTGACTGGAGGAGACGCAGTGGTCAGCGTGTATAGGCTCGACCTTGGCCGACGTGTAAACGTGGCCAGGTGTCGGCCTGTCCGAGCGTCCGTGCAGTGGGTCACCCGCTGACTCGCAGGAGTGAACTAGTGAACCCCCGCATCCTGTAGGTCAGCACCACTCACCAAGTTCGTAGAGAACGAGGGGAGGTAAAGACCAGACAGGGTGCCAGAGGGGGCCGCCGGACACGGGAGGACAGTGGAGAAGTGAGCAAGGACAGGACCCCCAGAGGGGTCTGCCAGAGAGATTGCAACTGGCCGACCAAGCGGCGTGAGTGTGGTGCGGTCTCGAAAGAAGGAGCGGGAAGCCCCCGAGTCAAGAGTGAAGGTGTGAGAGGCCGGAGCCGACGCGGTACCTGAGAGAGCAGAGTCACCCGCACCTGAGGAAGCAGACTCACTAGCACCTAGAGCAGCAGCCGCACCTGTACCTGGAGCAAGAGACTCACTAGCACCCAGAGCAGCAGCCTCATCAGCAGCTAGAGCAGCAGGCTCTATACCCGGGTCAGTCGGTACGCACAGGTGACCGGCACGGTCAGCACTAGTAGGCAATGCATACATGGCAGTGAGAATAGTATCATAGTCAAGAGCAAATATATCTACCCTCTGCCTAAGCAACTCCACCCAGTCGGGGAGCTCAGCCTCGTCGCCAGACTCGGTACGCGAGGCGTTGCTTAGACGGGCGAAGCAGCGGGACTGTGTGTGACTAGGTGTCCCACAAGGCTGACCAGTCCGAGCACCAGTGCGAATCACGTAAGAGCAGCGAACAGAACTGAGAGACCCTCTAATCTGAGCGTACCACTCACGAAGCTGCTAGGGTGTGAGAGACGCGCGTGGGCGTCGCTGGAGCTGCATCTGGCCGCCGCCAGTAGTATTAGCAGCAGTAGTGGTAGCAGTAGCAGCGCCGCCACCCCTACAACCCCAACCAGCGTACCACTCACGCAGCTGCAGGGGCGTGAGGGACTCACGCGGACGTCGCTGGGGCTGCATCTGGCTCCGCCAGTAGAAGCAGGAGGAGGAGTAGCAGCAGTAAGGCAGGCAGCCAGGCAGGCCGAAAGGCAGGCAGGCAGGTAAGCAAGCGGCGGGCAGCGCGCTAGCAGGGCAGGGGCTCACCAGTGGTGGGAAGAGCAGGCTCGGCGACTCGGCGACTCGGCAACTCGGCGGTGCGGGCGGCTCGGGCGGCTCGGCGGCACGGCGGCTCGGCAGCAACTGCGGCCCGGCGGCTCGGGCGACTCGGGCGGCTCGACGGCAACTGCGGCTCGGCGACTCGGCGGCTCAGGCGGGTCAGGTGGCGCTGCGGCTCGGGCGGCTCGGTAGCAGCTCGGCGGCGCCGGCGGCTCGGTGGTGATGGCGGGGCCGCTTGGGGACGGCGGCGGGGCCGGGTGGAGCGGCGACGGGGCCAGCAGAGGTGGCGCCGGGGCCGCAGTGTAGGTGACGGGGCCAGCAGAGGCGGCGCTGGGGCCGGGAAGGGCGGCGCCGGGGTCGCCGGGGTAGGCGACGGGGCCAGCCGAGGTGGCGCCGGGGCCAGGAAGGGCAGAGCTGGGGCCGTAGGGGCAGGCGACGGGGCCAGCAGATGCGGGGCCGGGTCGCGAAGGGCGGCGTCGGGGTCGCCGGGGTAGGCGACGGGGCCAGCCGAGGTGGCGCCGGGGCCAGGAAGGGCGGAGTCGGGGCCGGGATGGGCGGCGCCGGGGCCGCAGGGGTAGGTGACGGGGCCGCTAGGGTGGCGGATCGGGGCCGCGAGGGCAGCGCGACGCGGCCGCTAGGGCGGCGTGACGAGATGGGGCCGCGACGGGGTAGCGGGGAGTGGCGCGCCTAGAAGGAACGGGGCCGCGCGCCGTTGGCGCGCGACGAGATGAAAAATAGGTCGCACGCCACGGGGCGTGCGACAGATCGAGTAGCAGCGGAAGCAGTAGTAGGGCCCACAGGCCAGGAGCATATGTGCTCTGAAACCATGTGAAAATGAACGAGAATGAATTCAGTATGAAAGAGTTGGGTACAAGGACTAACCCTAATTGGGTTGTACCCCATATAGGCTACCCCACTACAGCCTACACAAAAGCATAAGCTATAATATTCTTACATTTTGTACCTGGTACGAATGTCTTATAGCTATAATGTAATTATATGTACCGTTCCATTTACTTCATGCAGGTGTAACAATGATGGAGTATGTAGTTGAATAATAAAAATAGGCCAATATTTTTTTACGGGATTCATGCGAACCTGCTTTTACTGGGATCTAATCCTATCTGGTTACCATGGCATATGGCGATCCACATGTCATGGAAACTC